GGGAGGGCAGGGCAGGGCAGGGCAGGGGCATGTAGGGCATTGTAGGGGAGAGTAGGCTAGTGTAGGATAGTGTTGGGATAGTGTAGGATAGTGAGGGGAGTGTAGGGGAGGGGCGTGTAGGGGAGGATAGTGTAGGGAGGGGAGTGCAGGGGAGATGAGCATAGAGGAGGGGAGTGCAGGGGAGTGTAGTGTAGGGGGGGTTTGGGGGAGTGTAGTGTAGGGGAATGTAGGGGAGGGGAGTTTAGGGGAATGTAGGGAGGGGAGTAGTTTAGGGGAGTGTAGGGGAGGGGAGTGTAGCGGAGGATAGTGTAGGGAGGGGAGTGTAGAGGAGGGAAGTGTAGAGGAGCATAGGGGAGTGTAGTGTAGGGGAGTTTAGGGGAGGGGGAGTTTAGGGGAGTTTAGGGAGTTTAGGGGGAGTTTAGGGGAGTAGGGAGTAGGGGAGGTGTTTATGGGAGGGGAGTTTCGGGGAGTTTCGGGGAGGGAGTTTAGGGGAGGAGGGGCGTTTCGGGGAGTTTAGGGAGGGGAGTTTAGGGGAGGGAGTTTTAGGGGAGGGGAGTTAGAGATGTTTAGGGGAGTAGGATGCTTTTGAGGTTTAGGGGAAGTTTAGGGGAGTTTTAGGGGAGGGAGTTTAGGAGGCGTTTAGTGGAGGGGGAGGGGAGAGTTTAGGGGAGAGGGGAGTTTAGGGCGAGGGGAGGGAGTTGAGTTTAGGGGAGTTTAGGGGCGTTTAGGGGAGTTTAGGGAGGGGCGTTTAGGGCGAGGGGAGTTTAGGGGAGGGAGGGGAGTTTAGGGGAGGTAGTTTAGGGTGAGGGGGAGCTTAGGGGAGGGGAGGGAAGTTTAGGGCGAGGGAGTTTAGGGGAGGGGAGGGGAGTTAAGTTTGGGAGGGGAGTTTAGGGAGTTTTAGGGAGTTTAGGGGAGGGAAGGGAGTTTAGGGTGAGGGGTAGGAAGGGGAGGGGCGGGGGGAGGGGTGGGTATTGGTGGGAAGTAAGGAATGGGCCAGGGAGGGAATGGGAGGGGAGGGGAGTGCTACCCTAAATAAAATGGCCAAAGAAGTGACATTTTGGATCTGGAGCCAAATATGTATGTTGCCATTCATTCCACAACGCGATTCATCACAGCAATCTGCGTTTTGCACAGTGCCATTAAGGGTTTGGCATGCACAGAGGTGACTGAGTATTTTCAGAACTAACTTTCCTTCCTAACTGATTGGAGACTTTTGCTGGTGTTATAAATGGCTCAGTCTTCCAAAGAGGGCAAGAATCAAAGTTTCCAATGTATGAAAGGAACGCATTTCCCTTCAAGCTCTCTATTGACACGAATTGCTAAAACCTTCCTCACACTGGAATGCAAAAGATCAGGTGATTGGTTAACGTAGGGTTGGCAGCTGAGCAGGGGAAACATCTTCAAAACTTCCAAATATTTCCCCTATGCAGAACTCCAACTCCTTCTTCTCTGCTCTCTGGTTGTGAAAGTTTCTGTCACCTGCTCAGGAAGCAGAAGCAGTCAAATGGGATTTCGAGTGATCCAGCTACAGCATCAGTGCCAGTGAGAGGAAGCAATCAATTCCCAGGTAGTCCAGGGTTTGAAGAGAGTTTAAGCAGCTTTCCAAGGAACATGTCCAAGTGCAAAGCAACCAATTGATCTGACTGTCCAGTGAAAGAAAAGGAAGTGCAGAGCAGCAAATGCTTGAGAGAGGGAAACCTTTTTGAAGCACAGCCATTTTGGGCCGAGACCTGTTAATGTGCTAGGCAGTCCCAGGAAGCGTCAAAGTGTGAGCCGTGCTCTCCAGCACTGGCGTCCTGCACTTTCTGGAGGTTCTTGATTCTGTAATCAGAATTCCAACAATCTCCTCAACAGCGTACAGATCCAAAACCCACAGACCCAGATCAAACAGCCTCCCATCTGGTTGTATCATTGTCAGGCATGCATTCTTTTCTAGTAACTGGTCCTTTCTTCCTTAGTTCAGATCAAACACAAATAACAAAATTCAGATGACTCCTAAACTCTCCAGACAGCTCTGGTGTTGCTGTAGGATGGAATACAATTGTTTTCCTTACAACCCACCAGTTCTTTCCATGTCTGTTCTGGACCTTGGGATCTCTTTTGGGAGCTACATTACGCAGAGCAATACAATAAGGCTGAGATCACCGCTGCCTCAATGTAATGCAAAGGTGAAGGCCTTTATGACAGCCAGTTTGGAAATGAATGCAGCCCCATCTTGTCAGCATCAGAGCAGAGCCAGCTCCAGATGGCTCCAAAAAGGAGCTGCTGCTGGCCAGAGCCGAGGCAGGGAGTGCTGTTGGGTGGGCTTCGGGGGAGCAGATTTAAGGAAGGGGGGAAAATACTGCTGTGCAACAGCAGCTGGGAGAGAGGATTGTGAAAGCGTGAGAGAAGCAGCCCTGCAGCCCCCCAGGTGAGTGCAGCAGGAGGGCAGGAGGTGCTGCAGGCAGGCAGGCAGCAGCAGTTCCCCTGCGGGCTGTGCAGGGAGAGGCCCCTGGTGGAGCAGGCTGTCCCCCTGCAGCCCATGGGTCCCCCATGGAGCAGATCTCCACGCTGCAGCCCCCCCATGGGTGGAGGAGCCCCCGCTGGAGCAGGTGGATGTGGCCTGGAGGAGGCTGCGGCCCATGGAGAGCCCCCGCAGGAGCAGGCCCCGGGCCGGAGCTGCAGCCCGTGGAGAGGAGCCCACGTGGAGCAGAGGGTCTGGGGGGAGCTGCCCCCACCCGTGGGGGACCCGTGCTGGAGCAGTTTGCTCCTGGGGGATGGATGGATGGATGGACCCCATGGGATGGAGCTGTGTGAGAGCAGTGCTTGAAGAGCTGCTGCCTGTGGGCAGCCCCCCAGGCTCAGTTGGGGAAGGACGGCATCCCTGGGAGGGACCCCACAGGGAGCAGGGGCAGAGAGGAACAGTGGAGCAGAGGAGACCAAGCATCAGGGACTGACCGCAGCCCCCATTCCCTGTTCCCCTGCGCTGCTTCGAGGGCAGGAGGTAGAAGAGAGTGGATGTGGGGAAGGTGGTTTTGGTTTGCTCTTACTTTCTCACTGTACTACTCTGCTAGTGATAGGCAATAAATTATATTAATCTCCCTATGCTGAGTCTGTTTTGCCCATGATGATAGTTGTTGAGTGATCTCCCTGTCCCTATCTCAACCCTTGAGCCCTTTGCATCGTATTTTCTCCCCCTTTCCCTTTGAGGAGGGGCAATGAGAGAGCATCTGTGGGGAGCTCAGCTGCCCAGCAGGGTAAAACCATCACACTTTCTCATGCAGGTATTCAAGCCTCCTGTATCTCCAGGCTCAAAAAACAAATATCACAAACATTGAAGTTTTTTTCTTCACCATACTGCTAGTTTATGTAATCCAAATCTGGACTAGCTCATTTTGATTTAAACTTCCTTTCAGGCAGCTGTACCTGAGCTGCACAGCAACACTTGCAGAACAGAGAAACAGATCTCTGCTGCATTGCTACCTTGGCTGTCAGCTATAATCTGATGTGTGACCCCTGCAAGTCGAACTGCTTTTGTGCTTTAAGTTTAACTTCATGGAAAGTGTTGACCTTTAGGCATATACAAGAGTTAGACCTAAGACAGTACTTGAAACAACCTTCTTTATGTGGAAAACATAAATTAATGACAAGCCAAATCCAATGAATGTAAACAGGTAACACTTGTGAATTTGCTTAAAATTAATGTTAACAATATTTTTTAGTAGTGCCATAAACCTGAATAGAGCAATAATACACCCTGTTTTAGAGAGATGTGTAAGCATGACACAAAAACTAATTTCTGTCCTGCAAACTGAACCTCAACTACCAGAAGAAGAATTCTGTGCTCCTGCAAGTCTGTACATCTCTCGAGGCCAGAAGCAGAGTGGGGTGACGTGCTTGCCTCTGAACTTCTTACATTTTTTTCCCTCAGCTCTCAAGGCTGCAATGAATCAACACTTGGGCATTTGACAGCCCTTTTATGACTTTCTGTAATTTAGCTAAGATGTCACACCTCAGGATGTCCTACATAAGTGACTTTGCAATTGTGTCTTCTGGATGCCAGACAGCCACTCTGCTAGCTTCCAGTATGAATGGAGGAGGTAAAAGACGCAAGCAGGACCATAGCAGCTGTAAAAAGCGGAGGTGAGAGTACACATCTGTTTCTCCTTCTGGGGTGGCAGGAGCGCTGCTTGGTGAGGGGAATAGCTGTGCTGCTCTCGCGACTCATCTTTGCTTTGTCCCGGTGGAGCAAAACATTGATTGAAGCAGTTCTTCATCCCCTGGAGCTTCAAGTCTCAAAGGTTCCTTGGCAGGTTCCTCACAGGTGCTTGGGAGACCAGAAAGAAAAGTTTGCCTTTTGGAAGAGCTAGTTTTCCAGTCTCTTTACTTTGTTGATTCATGTTGAACTCTTTTGGGTAGACTTTTGCCATGCAAACAGCACTGCAGTATTAAACACACAAAAAAAAATCTACTGATAGAAAGACTACCCATATTAAATGAAGATTATTTTTTAAGTGATGCGGAAAAGTTGAGTGGGACTGTTGTGCACATAGTTCTTGTTGCTGTAGCAGGCTACTGGAACTGGTGTAATGCAGTGGAGTAGCCCATAATCTTCAAGTGTACTGATGAGAATGATGGGAGCTTTTAGGGGAAAAGGAGGCCGAATCTGCCAGCTGATATCTGAAATTGGGCAATTTATTTCAAGTATTTCTTTTTAGGCTCCACGTACTGTACTGTTCAGGTATTTCAATCAGTCTTTCAAGTGAGTGTTTTTACTTTTCTTTCAGATGAAAGCAGTCAGTGAAAGTTTGACAACAGCCTAAGCAAGAGACAGGATGATCTCATGATGTCCCAGGAGCATGGTATGTTTGTGGTTTTCTAACTAAAGGATGCTTACCCTATATAGAAACATTATTTGCTTAAGAATTTTGAATAATTTGCTTGTTGAGGGATCGATTTCTTTCATATGCTATTAGTTCAGTTTTGCAGAGAAAAACAATCAGTTTTAGTACTTAAAATTTTGCCTTTGTGTTGCCAATTCATTCCCTTCTGAAATGAATGTGGTGTCAAAAAAGGCAGACAAGAATTCTTGCTCAAACTGCTTAAAGAGTTGTTTATTTGCCTTTCTCCCTGCAAACCTTTTTTTTTTCTCCCTTTTTTTTTTTCAAGGACAAAAAAAAAAAATCTGTAGAAATTATGTGGCTGAGCAATTACATAGTAGATTTCATGCTTCACTCTTTTTAAAAGAAGAATTTGACAGTCTTAAAATGGGAAAAAAATAGAATGTTAATGGCCACTCTTAGTATTGTTTAGCTGTCCTGTCTATCAGGATAACTTTTTAACAGCTACACTGTTAACTACCAAACATTTTAGATTCCTGCAGAGGCCTCCAGTTTTTCCAGTGCAAATGGCTCTTTACAGCCTTACAATACTGTACTAAAGAAACAATTAAATTCTTCTTTCCTGGGGGGAAAAATTGTTTTGCTTTTGTGTATTTATTGTTATTAATGACTGTGGGGTCAGTGGTATAAAGCAAATCTCTCTGTAGACCATTCAGTATCAAACAATAATGTCTTCTACCTTTCTGCTGCAGATAGGACAGTGTTCCCTTGATGCACTTTCAAAGGTGCAAAGTATAATTCAGTATTGCTGGCAGGGTGTCTTTTACTTTGGGATTACTGGACTTTTTGTTCCTACCAGAGTGATTACCACTACAGATGTTTCTTACAGAGTTCTATCTCACTTGTGCAGTAGCCATGGGAGATCTTGCTTGCAGTTCACAAGCTCACGGAGACTGGCATGTGGTGAAAGCTTCCGAGCATACAAAAGGCTAGTGCGCAAAAGTTATGAAGCAGTGACACCGCAACTCTCCTGCAAAATTTCCTTCATGAGGTAAGTGATTGTAACTTCTCGTGCAGCTGTGTCCTTCAGCCGTGACTGATGATGAACCAGATGTTCTGCTGAAAAAGAAAATTCAGCAGAATGACTTTAGAGCAGAAGCAGAATTGAAACATTGAGGGTGAGATCAGCCTGATGTCTAGATTTTCACCAACAGCTAAAGCAAAGTGGAAACCCTAAAGGCAAGTCAAAATTGTGTGAGAGGTTTCATAAAAACAGTGTCTGGCTGCCAGAGTGTCCAGGAAGAGTCTGTTCTTTTTTCATGTTTGTTTTTTGGGGCTGATGTGGAGCAATTAAGCATACAGGATCTGAAAACATTTGCTCAAAACACTAACAAAACATGAAACCTCAAAGTTTCATATGCAAAGTGCTATTTCATTTAATATCTTTGAAATATCTTTGACGTTTAGATGTAGAGCTTAGGGATATGGTTTAGTGGGGTCTGTTAGCATTAGGTCAGAGGTTGGACTCGATGATCTTGAGGTCTCTTCCAACCTAGAAATTCTGTGATTCTGTGATTCTGTGAAAAGCTAATACAATTGGAAAGTTGGATAGTGTATATCAGTGTGAAATTAAGTGATACAAACAAATAAATATGGTGTGAAATATAAAATAATTACTTCAGTACTGAAACTGTGATTTGTGTCACTAAAGTACCCAACTGTGTGACAAGTCATCCAAGTCTTTGAAGCCAGGAACTTTTGAGGCTATATTGGAAATGTTATATGGGAATGATCCAGTACTGGTGAATCATCATATCCTTACCTGCATGTCAGGGGACACAAACCATAATGAGTGAACTATTGGACACCATACACTAAATCTATAGAAACTTTTAATACTGAAATTCAAAATGCAAACAAGTTTCAATTCAAACTTATAAAATAGTTGTTTTGTAAATCAAAAATGGTCAGAAGGTTACACCATGTGCTTAGATTGGTGTTCCTGTTGAATAGTTTATGCAGTATCCAATGAAGGAAAAAAATGATGGAGGTTTTTTTGTTGTTGTTGGTTGGTGGGTTTTGTGTTTTTTTTGTTGTTGTTGTTTTTTTTAGCAAGTGACTGACCAACATGAACATGAAATGAACAGGTAGTTACTCAAATATAGGAAAGGATAATTGGAATGAAAACAACAGTAAGAGATGTGCTGCTTACACATCTCATGCAATTATGTCTGTTAATTAAACTTCATTATGCAGGAACTACATTCCAGAACACAGAAAGAACAAAAACATCTTTTGTCCATTTGTCTGCATTCTTGTTTTTGGTGTTTCACAGAGGCAGCCAGCACTTCTAGATGATGTAACGGAGAGGAAGGTGCTGAGATGCAGTGTAGCACGGTTATACTTCCAAGGAAGAACTATAAATGAAAAGTTTGGAAATAGGGAGAAGCTTCAGGAAGTATCAAGGTGGCATTTGTCATCAAATCATAATTGTTTTTGTTGTTGTTGTTGTTTTTTATTATTATTATTTTATTTTTCAGGCTTTTGAGTGATTAACAATGTTGTTGCTTGTTATTCCTTTTTTTCCACTGTATCAGAGATGGATAATAATGTACTACTACAGAAGAAAAATAAAGATTATGTAATTGTGTGGTATTTGTATTGCTTTCAAAATGTGATTGCAGCACTGAGAGAGACTAGTTATTTGGCAGCTTGAATATTAAGCCTTAGAAAAGGTTTGTAATAACAACAGTTATTTCTACCTATATCGGGGCAGTGTCTGGCAACATCTATGTAGGCAAAAAATAAAGACTTATGTTTCTGCTCTCAGAACTCCTGTCTGTTCCAAGCTAGAATAACTGCCAAACAGAAGGAACTGCTAAGATCTGTTTTGCACTGGTTTGGGGTTACCAAGTCACCCCTTTGAACTAATATGCAGGAGCTAGTAAGTGGGTAAGTGGTAAGAGGTCATCACTGAAACCACAGCCTTCTGTAGCACCCGGGAAATGGGTCAGCTGAGATACGTGTTGTGGAGGGGAAAAGAAGAAATTAGAAATTAAAATTCAGCAAACCTGGGTTTAAAATAGCAGGAAAGGTATTTTTCTAACGTGAAAATTGCAATTTTTATTATTATTTAGATCAGTGTACTGTGATATTTCAACTGAACTTAGAGTAATACACACTGCAGGGATAACAAATGGACTTCCTGGTGCTTTTTGATGTTTGTTTTTGTTCTTGTTTGTTTGTTGTTGTTGTTGTTGGTTTTTAATTATTTTATTGTGTTGTTTTTTTGTTTTTTTTTTTTTTTAGTTTATTTCTTAGAGGAAGGTTTATCATAAATTGGTTTTATCAAAAGGGCATATACTTAAATTCTGTACCTTACAATGTCTTATTTTGTAGCAGTGAATGTAAGCAAATTACTAATACAGCATCTAAACACAAGTGTGAGTTTTCGGGTTGTCAGAGAGGGAAGGTAGTTTAGACATGTGATTAGTGATCCAAGATGTAATTATTGGATGCACTTGAAAGCTTACAGGTTGTCTTAGGGATTATATTCCCTGAAGATACCATCTGTTCAGGATTTTTGCTCTTGGGTCTTTGTTCTTAAAGTGGAAGACTGGCAAGAGTAGCTTTTAAGACTTTTTTTTTTTAATTCTTGAGTGCAACAAACAATGCCAAGATTTATTGATTGCTAACATGTTAATTCCCGTTGAACAAGAAAAAACAGAGAATCACACTTCAGTACATGTTATCTGTTCCATAGTGTGGTGGAATGAAGAAAAAAATAGGTAGAAGAAGGAGCACATGGCTCTAAGGGCCACTAAAATAGCAGTGGTAGTTTAAGTAAATATAAATGCAGGTGCAGTGTTATGCATTAGGACCACCTTTCTTAGATTTTTTTCTTAGATTTTATTTTTAACTGGACTGTACTTGTGGAAAATAATGACGACTTCTTTATTTTTTCCCTCCCTTCCTGTTTTACATAGACACTGTGTCTAATAGACAGTTGGTTTTGATAAAAAGAAAAAAAAAAAAAAAAGTTGAAAGAAGTAGAGATTCTCAGATGGTCGAGGAGAGGGAGAGAACAATGATACTTGTACTAGCTTGCTGTTGCACCAACCCTGCATTCTGTAACCCACCTCCAACACTTTATTGCAGAGATCTCTTAATGTTATATGCTCAGTATTTTCCCAGAGAAGCCGTGCATGCCCCCATCCCTGGAAGTGCTCAAGGCCAGGGTACCAAGTGGGGCTTTGGGCAACCTGGTCTACTGGGAGGTGTCCCTGCCCATGGCAGGGGTGTTGGAACTGGGTGGTCTTGAAGGACCCTTCCAACCCAAACCATTCTGCAATTAAAGCTGAGAATCAGGACTTTTGAAAGGTGTGCACAGAAAGAAAATTGACATGTTCCAAATTCCTTTTTAACCCAATTTTTGTATACTGTATCCAGTTTCATTAGGGCTAGATCATTTGAGTGAAAACCTTTTGAATCAGTGGGTGACTAGTCATATTCTTGAATGTAAATATTGAATGTCTTTCACGTGGCAAAGAGGCTTATTTGTAATAAACTTATAAGAAGGAAGTCTACTACATTCTGATGTTAGGAAATAATAAATAATGCTAGCTATTTTTGAGATATTTACATTATGGCAAGTAGGTATGTCATATAAACTGACCGGTTGGGAGAGTAGTGGTTTTCCTCTTACAAAGGGAGACAAATACAGGAGAGAAATTAAAATGAGCGTGTAAAGGGGAGAAAGACCATTTGTCATACTAGCTCTGTATCTGTGTTTGGTTTGACAGCTAGTATAGCCTGTTGGTGCTTTCTGACGATTTTTAGATAAGAAAGGGAGCTGTAATATGGATATGTATTGGAAGTACGAAATTCAGTGCTGACAACTTCCTGGTAACAGAAAAAATAACTAATCTGGAGAAGCTGTATTCTCAAGTGGATTTTAATTGGTACTACACCTGTTTTTACCAGATGGTGCTGTCAAATGAATCCATGTTTCTAAGGTTTTTCTCCTTTGTGTAATGTAAATAAGACACATAGGCAACCATGGTTTGACCTAAAAATTCAAGTTTTACTTGACTTTTTTTAAATAACCTGGACACAAGTATTGACACAGCCATCTATCAAACTCATTTTAAAATAAAGCACACAGTTGCTTCATGAATACTTAACATACATTGAGCATATGAATCACATCATTGATACATTTTTGTATGTTGTTTTAAAACATCTTTCTAGAGAGCTTTGAATTAAACAGGCTTTCCCAAAAGAAAATTTGCTGTATATTCAATTTACTATTCACATGTGTAAAGATGGTTGATTT